ACTAACCGCACTGGTAACTAGATGTAACATACTCATGCTCTGTCTTCAAATGATCGCTATTATCTGAAGGGGTTTAAAAGAAAATAACATATGCATGATGTTCCTTTTCGTTTTTTAGATACCAACGAATGCACTAGCGGAACACACGACTGTGATGCGAATGCCGAGTGTAACAATACCCTGGGATCTTACAACTGCACGTGTAAAGATGGGTTTCATGGAAATGGAACTCGCTGCACAGGTAAGTATTTCTCAGATTTACTATGTTAATCAGGGTTTCCTTAGAATTTTAAGATCAATACGTTAGACAGAGAGGAGCAGATTTCACTCAAAACCTGAGAACATACTTTGATGAATAGAAACAGACGACTCTGAAAACAGCTCACATGGTTGTGAAACACACTTGGGGCAAGAGGGAAGCGTTTCAAATTAATCTTACACACTTTGATGCTTTAGATCTGGACGAATGTGCCAGTGGAACACACGGCTGTGATGTAAATGCTGAGTGTAATAACATCTTGGGATCTTACAACTGTACGTGTATCTATGGATTTAATGGGAATGGAACTAACTGCACCGGTAAGTATTTCTCAAGTTTACAATGTTGATGTTTTTCTGAACACTCTAAGATAAAAAAAAATATCAAGTGGGAGGAGGAGTCGATTTCATGCGAAACTTAAGAACGTATTCTGGTGAATACAGATGCAGACGGATGTGGAATGCAGCAAACGGCCAACAATGTAAGGCGTTAAGGACAGTATCCATAATAACGACACAAGTCTATGTGGTATTCACTAGAGAATTTTTACTCATTTGCATGATCGAATGTCTTGACTTATATTGAATGTAAGGTTAGTAAATACGAACGCGGAACAACTAACCGTGAATTGAAAATAATTGGTTGAACAAATACTACTTCCTGTGCTGAAGAGAGGCTGAAAAGTTGCGGGACTTCTTGAAGGTATTATTCTTTACGTTGTCTTCTTTGTTGTAGAGAAAGTGTGGTCTATTACCATTTGTGAACGTAAACCTAACCGAATCATCAGTTGTGAAAACGAAAGAAAGATCGACGCAGTGTATGCGAATTTCGGAAGATTGGACCGAGTGACATGCGTCCATGGAGTAATGTCGAACACAAACTGTCGCGCTGTGAACTCTCTTTCCACCGTGCAGACAAAATGCAACGGAAAAGTCAGCTGCGAACTGGCTGCGACAAATTCAGACTTTGGTGATCCATGTGCTGGAACATATAAATATCTGGAAGTCAAATTCAAGTGCGTGTTAAGTAAGTTGAAAAAATAAATTATCAGTATACTGCGTACA